AATAGAGAGACACAGATAGATACACTGATAGATAGACAAAGAGATAGTTATAGATAGATTGGTGTATTTAGGATTACAAATACAGTTGTTGAAAAGAATTAATAATAATAACACATAAAACAACAGTAAACCCAAATAGAGGAAACCAATAATGATAAAGATGATAATAATAATAATAATATTAATAATAATAATAATAATAATAATAATAATAACAATAAAAATAATAATAATAATACAATAACAATAATAACAATAATATTAACAAAATAATATAAAAGCTAAAATAAAAACAACAACAATGACATGAACAACAACAACAAGAACAGCAACACTAAAAATATGACATGACAGTGACAAAGAGCAAACTTGACGTCAACTTCACATACAGGTTCGGAAACACGAGCGCTTAATAAACAGGTTCATGTTGAGTGCGATGAGTGAGTCTCCAAACACGCACGCACGCGCACACACACACACACACACACACACACGCGAATACTGTGTAATGGGTGGCTATGGTGTTGGAAACAGTATTGGTGATATAAACCAGCATGTATGCTGGGTTACATACAGACATACTTCTCTCTCTCTATCTATCTGTCTATCTATCTATCTATCTATCTATCTATCTATCTATCTATCTATCTATCTATCTATCTATCTATCTATATATATATATACAAATAAATAAATATATATTAATATACATATACATACACACTTACATACATACATATATATATATATATACATATATATATATATACATATATATATATATATATATATATATATATATATATATATATATATATATATATATATATATATATATATGTATATATAAAATATACATACATATATATATATATATATATATATATATATATATATATATATATATATATATATATATGTGTGTGTGTGTGTGTGTGTGTGTGTTTATATATATACATATATATATATATATATATATATATATATATATATATATATATATATATATATATATATATATACATACATATATACATACATATATATGTACATGTATACATATGTATATGTATATACGCATATGTATGTGTATATATATACATACATCATACATACATACATACACACAGACACACATACTTATATAATACAGTGCCTAGTAGATGAGAATGACACAGCAAAATCACAGAATCCCACCACCTGAATCTCCTTCTCCCCCCCCCCTCCCCTCTAGGCCCCTCCCCTCACGCCCCCTTCCCCCTCTCGACCTCCCCCCCCCCCACAGTCATTAATGCTCATCTAAAATGACACAATTAACAGACTCTCTTCAAGCACTCCCTCCTGGCACTCCCGCCCGCTCAGTGGCACTCTCCCCCCCCCCACACACCCCTTCACCGGAGTTATATTTCAGCGGCATGACACCACTCGCCACGCCTTGCCTTGGTGTCATGCGGAAATCGTGACACTCCCTTGTCATGTCATGCTCGAATCATGCATGGTTAGCAGTTTAATTATAGAAAGTATAATATCTTTGTCATTTTATAATAATATATTATAATATGTTAAGGTAACGATTAATAACTATATCAACAGTCTAACGGGTAATTAAAGATGATGATAATAATACTAATACCGAATAGATTCATAATTTTAGGATAATGATAATGACTTATGATGGTGATAATGATGACTCCAGTAATAACAACATCAACAGAAATCGGAATAATAATGTTAATAAAATAATGATAATAATTATAACATTATTAAACACGATAATAACATCAACAACAGCAACAATAATTAATAATAATAATAATAATAATAATAATAACGACAACACCAACAACAAGAATATCAATAATAACAATATATAATAATAATAAAAAGATAATAATATTAAGAACAATAAAAATGGTAATAAAAATAATGATAACAATGGTGATGATGATGATGATGATGATAAAGATGATGATGATGATGATGATGATATAATAATAACAATAACAATATCAATAATAATAATAATAATAATAATAATAATAATAATAATAATGATAATAATAATAATTACAACAACAACAAAACAACAACAATAATAATAATAACAATATCAATAATAGTAATAATAATAATATTAATAATAGTAATGATGATAATAATAACAATGATAATAATAATAATGAACAAAACAACAACAATAATAATAACAATATCAATAATAGTAATAATAATAATAAAAATAAAAATAATAATAATAATAATGATAATAACAACACACACACACACACGGAACTGAATCTCCTCTCCACGTGCCCGACATCCTGGCGATACGGAAATCTATCTTTTAATGAAGCCAATTAACGTTACCTCCTCCCCCCCCCTCTTCCCCTCCTTCCCTTCCTCTCTTTCCCTCCCTCTCCCTCCCCCTTCCCTCCCTCTCTCACCCCACTTCCCTCCTTCTCTCTCCCTCTCCCTCCTTCCCTCTTCCATTCCTTCGTCCCTACCTGTTCGCTCGCTCCCCCCCCCTAATTGGTCCCCCGCCTCCTCTCCTCGTCTCTCATTTACTCATCTTTCTATATCTCTCTTTCCCGCCTTAATTTATTCCTTCACATCTTTCCCTTCCTCTCCTCTTCCACTTTCTAATG